TTAAAAACATATGCTACGATTATTCATTTATTACATTAATTAGAAATTAGGACAAATAGATTAAAATAATTAGATAGATAGATAGATATTCTTTATTGTTTCCTCCAAAAGATTACAATAGTAAACTTACTATAGTAATTACTGAATCGATTTTGATAAAATTTCTATGATATAGGTTTACAAGTGCTGGAGTTATGGGGTAACAAATGTAATAAAAAATACAACCGATTTGGGAACACCTTTCGAAATCTTTTAAGACTGTTTGTTATCTTCGTGTAAAAAAAAACAGTCAAGAAATTTATTAATTTCTCCCAGCAACAACATCCGCCACGCCGTAAGCTGGAAGCAAGTAATAGACAACGAGCTAAAGGCGGTTTTTTAGTCAGTCGCTCGACATAAACAGAAGGGAACACATCGGTCCTTGTGTAATTTTACTTTTTCATTTAAGAGTTTCCTCTTGTCGGTGCAACTAATTCATGCATCTTCCTCCAGCCAGCTCTGTCCCAGGCCATATCCTTGACCTCCCTATACGACATGACACCTAGTGTTTCCTTTATCTGTCCCATGTAGTTAATCCTCGGTCTTCCTCTTCCTCTTTTGCCCTCTATCTTTCCTTCTACTATGCTCTTAAAAAAATCGTCATGTCGTATAAGGTGGCCCAGCATTTTGCCTCTTCTATTCTTTATTATTTTAATCAATGTTCTCTTCTCGTTTACTTTTTTTTTTTTACTAAGTATAGAATATTCAATTTCATTTATAATTAGAAAGTGTCGTTATGATTTATTAAACTTAAAATTCATTTATGTTCCTGATTAGATGTCATTTATAGAATTAAAACTTAGTAACTAGGTTGTATTGCTATGGCACACTCACAAACGAAAATTGTATTTAGCTTTGTGTATTTTTTTTATTATTTATGTTATCTCGCTTTTTTTTTTTGTATATGTACGTTGTAATTTGTGTGCTGTAAGTAATGCAAATAAATTATCTATCTATCTATCTATTAACGTTATAATTGCCTAATTAGAATTACAACGTTTTAATTTTTTTTTTAAGTATTTTAAGGGCTTTTACCTTTTTCAGGTATATCAGTCCTATTGTAATTATGGTTCTAATTTATATACATAATTATTGATTACAGTGTTGTTAAAATTGGCAAGAGGGTGTTCAGAATATTATGGCTTACTATGTGATATGTTAAAAAAAATTTTATTAATCTTAAAATTGTTTTTATGGTGAAGATAAATTATAGATTTATACAAATACTTTCTTATTGTAAAATTAGGTGAAAATTACGCCGCATATGGTTAATGTAGTAACACAAAATTATCAATATTCCGGTCATCGACCCCAGTGTCAAATGTTGACTTATGTATCAAGATTAAGTAATATTATAACAGGTGTTGTTTCAAACAATAATGTCATTGTATCTACAATATAAAGAGGCAGTTCAATGAACTCTGAGGTGTGTGGAGAGTCAAATCCTAAAGAAATTTCTGTATTGCCATGACAACTTCATTGAAATTGTATAATATCAATTAAATAGCAGATGGAGACTTTATGCGAAAGTCATTTTCTTGGGTACCTCTATCCCATTCGTGTTTCTACCGTGAAGCAGTTGTATTTTTTTTAATGGGTGATAATGGAATGGTAACCCCACCCGCGCTATCGGTATACACCGGCGGAGCACCAGTGTGGGATGATAGGTGAGAATGAAGGTCAGTTAGCCCATTTTGTGACGAATTCAATAAGAATTGTTCACGATGGTTTCCATGGGGAAACACGTGGAGGTCTACCTAATATTGGAAAGGGATTGTTAGCAATGGAGTTTGACAGCTCTATTGCTGGCAATATGCGTTATTAGGTCGACCTCCACGTGGTTCCCCCTGGAAACCATCGTGAACAATTCTTGTAGAATTCATCACGATGGGCTAACTGACCTGCTTCATCCTCACCTATCATCCTTCACTGGTGCTTCACTGGTGTATACTGATAGCGCAGGTGGGGTTACCATTCCATTACCACCCATTAAAAAAAACACAGCGCTCTACCCTTACACGACATTAAATTGTACGTATGTTTATGGAAATGAATCATTGATTGATTGAAGCAAAGAGCAGATGGTTGGCAGTAGAAACAGAGTGGAAGTAGACCTAACTGCGTATGAAAGTTGTCGAATGATTTTATTTCTAATATTCCATTTTCATCCATTAAAAAAAAAACCTGCACGTGCAAGGAAAAAACGAACGCAGCGAAGCTGTGTGCCATTGGTATAAATAAAGATTTAATTAATTCTGATGATATCATTATTTATCTCTTTGACAAGAGGTCTGATGACAAAATGATGATAATGACACCACATATATAACAAGTATTAGTACTTTATTGTATTCCATTAAATGCAGTTCCATTCCATTCTATTCCATTCCATTTGTGTGAGTTCCATTCCATTCCGTTAAATGGAATGGAAAGGTTTTAAATATAATAAAATTAAATTAAATAGAATTTAAAAGAATAAACTGTAATGAAACAAAATATAATTGTTACATTCCAGTCTATTCTCTATCATTTATTAAAATTATACTTAAATTTAATTTAAATTCATTCCATTAAGTTTAATTCTACTTTCATCTTTATTACTCTACTACAGGGAATAATTTTCTTTACATTTGTTTCTAGTAAGATGTTTACTAAACTTTTACTAAACTAAACTTTAGTTTAGTAAAAGTTTAGTAAAAATTTTACTGAAATTCAAATCAAATCCTGTACTATTTGCGATAAAGGTCGTCAATTTTTCCATAACAGTTATATATACGTGTATAAATGTCATCACACTGTACGTTTCAGAGGTGAAATTTTATAGGAGCATTGATTATCATTTGGCAACAAACGGAGCGACTATAAAATTTATTTCAATACTCAGTGCCCACATCTGAATTTGTGGAGCACTTGTTTATTATATATAAAAAAAAAAAACTAGCTTTTACCCGCCATTTCGTACAAATGGATTTTAGAAGTAGCAAAATCAATGCATTAGACAACTTCTAGAGGATGTATTAAGATGAAACATACAGCAGATTTCAAGATAGACCTGGAACACAGCTGTGAAATCCACATCCAATTTAGTGCAATAGATTTTGCGTGATGCCGGAACAAACAGACAGACAGACAGACGACATTTTTTTTTAATTTTTTTTATACAACTTAGAATGGCAAACAAGCTGACGGCCCACCTGATGGAAAGTGGTAACCGTCGCGTATAGACATGAGCAGTACCATGAACATAACAGAGTATACTGTTTCTCCCTGCAAACACAACTGCTTTAGTTTCTGTTTCGGTTTGAAGGACGTGAATGGCGTAAATTTACAAGGTACAGAGAAATAACACCTGAGTCCTCAGGAATGGCAACGCATGGTGGTATCATGGGCGAAACAGTATTCTCTGTTATGGTATGCTCATGTCTACAGGCGACGGTTGCCATTTTCCATCAGGTGGGCCGTCAGCTTGTTTGCCATTCTAAGTTGTATAATAAAAAAAAACATAGAATCCAGCATTCAGAAGCATCAGTTTTCCTCGTACAAAATCTTGTTCAACTAACCGACAAATTCTCTGAACAATAACTCATTGTAAAAAATGACTACGGCATTAATCATTTCCAGTAATACTGAAATCCGACTGATATCTGACCGGAAGGTCATCATTATGGGATCATCGTGCGTTTTGGTTCGTAGCCAATGCTATATGTCACCGTATGTATTATTTTCAGTTTTGTTTTTAACCGACTTCAAATAGAATGGGGTTTTTAATTCAATTGTGTTTTTCTGTTTTTATGTTTGTATCTCATAACTTCGTTTGTTTTAAAGCGTTTAGGAAAATTCTTTATTTGTCTGAAAAGATATACTTACAGATTGCTCCTATAGAAGTATATAGCATATGTAACAGCATATATATATATATATATATTTTTTTTTTTTTGATGGGTGAAAATAGTATGGTAACCCCGCCTGCGCTAACGGGATACGCTGGCGGAGCATCAGTGAAGAGTGATAGATGAGAATGAAAACAGGCCAGTTAGCCCATTCTGATACATTCATCAGGAATTAACCATGATAATTTCCAGGAGGAACTGTGAGGAGATCGACCTGGTTGGGTATATTGCTAGCAATGGGATTTTTAATCTCCATTACTAACAATCCCTTCCCCCCCCCCCCCTATCTAGTGGGATATCGTCCTACACTGTGTTTTTGTCCAATAAAAAACAAGGCTAACATGCAAGCTTGAATGGGTATTCCAGGTTTGTAATATAAGGAAATAAAAAGCGACGAATTTTTGCTGGTACATCCCAGAACGTCTAGACCTGATACAATTAAAAATAAAGTTCGTTTCTTAAATTGACCCGACCGGGAATCGAACCCTGCACCTCATATACACAAAGTAAAGAGCTCAAGGTCCTCATCGTCACATAAAATGTATGTACTGTCTAAATTACTGAGCAAATGTACAGTTTATTAAGATTACAGATGGGCAAAGCACCGGGTTTAAACCCGGTGCTTTGGTAAAAACCCAATAAACACCCATAAACTCCCATAATCACCCAAAAAAATAGGTTTTTACGTATTTTTTTGAAAATATGTAAGTAATACCAATAAATTATTTTTATAAATTGTATTGATCAATTCTACAATATTAAATAAAACGTTAACTAATAATATTTCAGGAAATTTTAAAAATCTATATATAATAAAATGAAAGTAATTAATTTTCAGTGTTTTCATGTTGCAGTTGATCAACATGTTGGCCTTTTGCTTCCCGTAGATACTTTAAAATTTCTTCATAACACCTCGTTCGCACACATGGCCGTATATATTTAAATTCTTGAGCCACTAACAGTCCGAAATACTCATTTCTTTTATCCTCTTCTCCATAAATTAAGCATTTAGAACAGTTTGTTTCTTCTTTCAGTAAATTTTCTTTTACTTTATCCTCGTTTTTTTCTTTGTTGCGACGACGCTGGGTAAATCATCTGGACACTGGGTCTCACTATCGCCAAATATATTTGGAGATCGGCTTCGGCTACGGCTTGGCAGACATTTTTTTCTTTCTACAATTTTAAATTAAATTTATTAGAATAAATGCTTCGAACACACGCGATCTAAGTACCTTTTGTGTTTATTATACCTTACCTACCTAGGTATAAAAAGAGTACTTACGTAGATTTTCTTTTATTAACTGTTTTATACGAAGATCTTGATCTCTCAAATTAGCATCCATTTTACTTCCAGTGATTATCAACTAAATTAATAATCCACAAAGTATTAAATAACGTTTTTATGAAATATTTAGCACAAAAACAATACCCTTTAAATATCGATCGTCAGTAACTGTGGCTGACTTACCTATATTCTAGCAAGCAGGACTGCCAGATGTGAAGGGGAAATCCCCAATAAATTGTTGCATGTGACTGATGATGTGAGCATGTTCGTTTCATAATAAAAATGTTGCCAGGTAACCAAAAAGTCGTATGTTTTTGTGCGAATTACGATCATAATCTTTACGATCGTACATTAAAAAATAGACAAATAATAGTATGAGTACGATTTAAATCGTATATCTGTCAACCCTGCTAGCAAGACAGCGACAAAATCACGTTGCATAACAATGTAGCCCAAGCTTATATCTTATGAAATATACGGAAGAGATACGGACTTAGAAAAAACAGAAATGTTGTTCTTTGTGGAAGTCATTGATGAAATTCTATGTATTTTAGCCCGCAAACTTTCTTCAAACAAAAACAGCGCCATCTAGTATCGAGTTCTGTAATTATCTCTTTGTTTATGGATTTGAAGTAAGACCGCCACGCATGCAATACATTATGACTGGGGATTCCCCTATTCGTCGACGCTGAATATGAGGCGACGACAATCACTGTCAAACGTGTTCACTATTACTCTGACTCTGGTAACGTGACTTCCTGGTAACGTGTTAGGTAGGAAAAGCAGTAAAAAAGTGCATATTAAGGGAGCAGATTTGAAATAATATTTATACTTAACAAGAAATAATTAAAGGTAAGTGGATTTTTGAATGATACAATTATATCATGATCACTTAACAATTTTAACTTAAAATTAGATGTATTATTACAAGCTTTTATTTAGCTTGCGTTATGTAAATAAAAGTATGTAGGTATGTTCGTATGTTGATGCAATTATCCTCAATCCTCAACCGACTGGGATAAAATTTTCCATACACGTTTATTTTGGATGATAGTGCATAGTTAGCTGAGAGTCGTCATTGGATAATAATGGTGGATAGCCTAAGATGTGTACTAGATATTTATTTTTAACATAATATGCGTAAGTACCTAATCGAATTAAAGAAGTTGCTGAGAAAAATACAGAACAATACGATAATAAACTAGCGTCTGCGTTTAATCCTCCGAGGAGATGTAATTTTACAAAGGTTTTTTGTATTTATTTTATTATTTTTTTAATAAATTTATTGTAAATAACAAGAAATAATCATTGTAAAAAAATAGGCACTCTATTGTTGAATTTTCGTCAGACCAACTAATCATCGTTCATTTTTTTAGGTTCAATGGGGAGACCTAAAGATTTACGCATATGGGAGCACTACCGTACTTTACCAAACAAGTCTGTTTCTTGCAAGCTTTGTAATAAGGTCTACAAATTCAGTAATGCTGCCAAAATGCTTCAACATCTTATCACTTGTCCAAAATCTCCAGAAACATTAAAAGACTCTATGAAACTTATAAAAGATAGCTCGTCCAAAACCAAAATGTCTGGACTGTCAGAGATAGAGACAAATGATTCTTTTATAAGCCCCTCGTCGTCTGCTAACACTACAATAAATGCTGAGTTTCAAGACACCGATGATCATATAAAAACAGAATTAGCGAGAGCTATATTTGTAACAGGGACGCCATTATCGATGGTGCAACATCCTTTATGGATACAATTTTTCGAAAAATTGCAACCAAAATTTAAAATACCTTCACGTAAAGCTTTAGCGACAAAATACTTAGATAAAATATATAGAGAAATGCGTTTTGAGTTAAATGAGGAACTAAATGCTTGTAGTTACTTACACCTTCAGTGCGATGGCTGGTCTAATTTAAGAAATGAAGGAATAATAAACTTTCTTATATCAAAACCTCAACCTGCATACGTTAAAAGTTTGAATACAGAAAGTAATCCTCACACTAGTGAATACCTTAGCCAAGAAGTTGAAAAAGTAATGAAAGTGTATGGAGCAAATAAGTTTCTTGTACTTATTGGCGATAACGCTAGAAATATACAAAAGGCATTCGAATTAACAAAACTCAAATATCCACATGTTGTTCCTCTCGGTTGCTGTGCACATATCCTTAACTTGTTGTGCCAAGATATTGTAAAGATACAAGAAGTAACTGTGTTTATTATGCAAGCCATAAATATAATAAAAACTGTTAAAAGGAGTCAACGATTAAGTTCCTTGTTGATAAAATCAAGGCAGGGTGAAGATTCTACACAAACACTAAAATTGCCTTGTGCTACAAGATGGGGAAGTCATGTTACTTCGTTAAAAAGTTTGAAAGCAAATAAGATAGCTTTGCAAATATTAACAGTTAGAGAAGATGTGGTAATTTCAAGAGATATTAAAGATTTAATTCTAAGTGATGATTTCTGGACGAAGACAGGGGAATGTATAAGTATTTTGGAACCAGTCACTGAAAGCATATTTTACTTAGAGAGCGACCAGAATCGTTTGCATCGCACATACATTACATTTAGAGATGTACAAGCTAAGATACGTTTTGCATTAAATGAGATTTCGACATTGAGCGAAGAAAGCAAACAGCAGATTCTAACATCAGTATCTTCAAGATGCAATATGGCAATGAGGCCAATACATTTTGCAGCATATATTCTAGACCCCAGGACTCTAGGAGTCGAACTTACTCAAGAGGAAGAACTTAAGGGTATGGAGTTTATCTACAATTTAAGCCAACACTTAAGTTTGTCAAATGTAATGGCAGATTTGGCGTGTTATAAAGCTAAAGAAAACTTTTGGGCCAGAGGATTTGTATGGAGCTCATTAGATAGCATTGAGCCCCTAATATGGTGGAAAGGTATTTGTGGTTCCACTGAGTTAAGCAAAGTAGCGATTCGTATTCTATCAGCTCCCTGTACTTCGGCAGCCACTGAGCGTTCCTTTAGTATCCAAGGCTACATACATAATAACAAAAGAAATCGACTTACAACTGAAAGAACTGAAAAAATTTCATTCATTTGTTATAACTGGAATCTTAAACATAAAGCTGAATGCGAGGACATTCAGTTTAATGAAGAAAATACCTTAGAAGCTTTCATTGAGCAAGTAAATGAACATAACAGTTTAGACGAAATAGAGCCTATCGAACCTATACAATTCATCGCTTGTAATAACTCTGAATCTGACAGTGATTGACTGTAGTTTTACATTTTACTTTCATCTCTTTCTTAATAAACTCAAAATCAAATTAAAAGTTTTTTATTCTGTAGGCTGCATAATAATATTGTCTATGTCCAGTATAGTGGACGTCTTGCGGCTGAGATGACGATGATGAAGTACAAAATCATAAACACCCAAAAATTTGGGTGTTTATGGGGTTTAAACCCAATAAACCCAAAACACCCGGTTTTTACCCACCAGACTTTAAACCCACCCAGGTGGATTGCCCATCTCTAATCTACATACATCAAAGATACCTAGTACGTATTGCTACAATATACTTAAACAATACGCTTAGCAATAAATTTCTGCTAATTAGATGTTTACTGAATTAATTAGTACCTTTGATTCCTTTGACATACAGTAATTAAATTAGAATTGAATCTGTTCTAATTTATAGTTATTTACAAATTATATTATATATATATATATATATATATATATATATATATATATATATATACGTACTCATATGTAGAGGTAATTCAATAAAATAAAAAAATAACAGTTGTATAAACTATTAATGGTAAAACCTAAAACCATTTAAGACTATAGATGAATTTGTAGGGTACAGAGGAACTCCTAAGTCCTCAAGAATGGAAACGCATGGAAGGTATCATGGGTGAAACGATATACTCTGTTATGTCCATGGTACTGCTCATGTCTATAGGCGACGGTTACCACTTTTCATAAGGGTCGTCAGCTTGTTTGCCATTCCAAGTTGCATAAATAAAAAAAAATTATAATTCATATTTTGATCTGCAATTATATTGTGTCAGTAAAATCATATGATATAGTGCCGGAGTGCTGTAGGGCATTTTTAAAGTTATAATAATGGAATGAAGCCTACGCTACCAATATACGCTGGTGGGGTACCAGTGATGGGCATCAGGTGAAGATTAAATCAGGTTAGAGGGTTCATCGGGACGACTTCAATAGGAATCAACATTCCATGGAGAGAGACCTTACCTAATGCCCCATTATTAATAAATCTCCTCTTCCCCTCTAATAAAAGAAAATACACTGTGTTTATTTTACGGGAATATTTTGCAAGCTCTTTGTATTGCTTTCACTTTAATTTCTCTGCATATAAATCCTCATTTCGGTTTTTATCTGTCATTTATTAGCTCTCAGAGCGACGCTAGGCTTCATCATTAGACATAAGACCACATTTCAATTCCGTAAGTACAAATTGGTTCCCCTTCTTTCTCAGCGCCAGCAGACACTTCTCAACACCGATCACGATCTTCAATTCCGTAAGTCACTGGTAACACGCACTAATTATAAAAGATTTTCGACTTCAAACTTTAAGGTATTTCTGATGCGAAATTGTGCCGCAGTTTCCCCGAAGGCTGCTAACTTATTTGGATTCTTCGGCTGACCTCTCCGTCTATATTTAGATCAAAATCTAGGTAAGGCTTTCAATAATAGTAGAATAGAATTTGTTATATAAATTCATTCAGAAAACTATCGTCATATATATAAGCCGTTAACTGTCCACTGCTGATCGGCAGGTTGGCAACTGTAGTCAGTCCTTGGTAATGTTTTAAGAGACACGCTGTTACCTTTGACCATTAAGTCCCCTTAGTCACCCCCTTAAAACACCTGCGAGCAAAGAAGCGGTGGCCTATTCTATGCCGGGACCAGAAAAGTAGTTTGTTGAAAATGTGAATAAACGAATAACTAACTCATCCTAATTCAACAATAACTTAACTAAATAACAATATAAGACAGTCTACTGAAATCCAATAGAGTAGTACCAACAAAAAAACTATTGATTAAATATTAAAATTAATTATTAATTTAATTTAGGTATGATCGTTATAATTACGATAAAAACACTTGGTTACTTTTTTATTAATATCTGTCGAAACAGACTATATGTCTATTTTTTAATACATGTATATAAATTCATTAAAAATATAAAAAAAAGTCCGATACGAACAAACCTATAAAAAGATCCGATGAACTTTAAACGCCTGAACAGATCTTCAGTAATTGTAGCTAAGAACCATTTCGATCACGTCCAATTTCAAACAAAAAGACGCATTACAATCGGTCAATTCGTTTACGAGCCACGATGCCATAAACAGACATACAAACACGTCAAACAAAAGGTACACATACATACAATCAGAAACTACGACTACGAGAAACTGGAACGCAATCGACGAATATATTAAAATTGAAGAATTAAACATTTTGAATATATAAATTTGAAGTCTATGCTAAATTAAGTGTAATATATTTTGTCTATGTTATGTAAACGTATCTTTTCATAAATGATATCTACCTAAAAATACAACGTCTAGACAAGGAGTTTCATTATTTACGCTAAGTATTTGATTCTGCTCGTAGATTATATATTGTCTATAGATAAATCGAGATTCACGTATCTTTAACACGAACTCATATTTCGTCCTTTTTAAATTTAGTTTGGCACATTTGAAACGATAAAGATTGAAATGTTTTAAGTCTCTACTTTCTTCTCAAACTTAATTGATATTTAATTTGAAAGTTTCAAGGAATCTTTTTTTGTCTCGACTCCATGTTTTTAATGATTCGTTCACTTTTACGAGTATACTATTCATTGCATTTCCACTTGTTTATCTTTTTTCGGGCAATGCTGTTTAAGCAGATTCTGAAGCGTGAGTTCGCCACAGATTTATTGTTCTTACGCCGTCAGCGTTTACGTAGATAATTTGTATTGAAAAATACACTGCAACTTCAACAAATGGTTGCGGAAACTCACATTTTCATTCACTTAAACTTATAGACATAAACATAAACGCAGTCGTAACGTAAATCTTCGTACATTACGCACTAGTCCCCTATTATGTGAACTATTTCTGAAACCCAAGTCCCATAACGAAAACCACGATATTTAGGGACTCCATTGTTGAAACTTGATGAAATAATACTATTACTTAAATTGCAATTAAATCTTCTCTTGGGAGATACCGATTCTCATTGAAAAGTCGTCGAATCACTTTCGTACAAAAATTTTATTGTTTTTTTTTTTATTATATTTAGAATGCCAAACAAGCTGACGACCCACCGATGAAAAGTGATAACCGTCGCCTATAAATTTTAACAGCTCTACGGATATCATAGAATACACGTATTTTATGCCTCTATACCCTGTAATATCCCATTGCTATATTTTTTGTTGTTATTATTATTATTTCAGCCGTTAACTGTCCACTGCTGGACGGTAAGCCTTCCCCAGTTTGCCAGTAGTTGCCATACTTGGTAGGCGGGTTTGCATCCGCATTTAGGCCTTTTAAGTGGGATGTTGCTACCCATTCCTCGCCCTCTTATAGTCGCCTCTTGCAACACCCACGGAAAAGGAAAGGGTGGCCCATTCTATGACGAGGCACATGGCGATTGTTATGTGTGAGATATAAACTTCAAACTGACAGTCATGCAAACACAGTTACGGCAAAAATATGATGGGACAGAGAATACCAAACAGAGGATTTTTATACCAAGTTCCTCTTTAATATCGGTTATTAATATTGGATGAATATCGCTCAATTACGCTTACAGATATATAATAAATTAAATTAATTTGCCGTGTGGTCCTGACATAGAATGGGCTACCCTTTTCTTTCCCGTGGGAGTCGTAAGCGACGACTAAAGGAACTTAACGATCGTTCTTCTTAAAATATCGCCAAAGCCAAACTGCAGTAACCAACCTGTCTACCAAAGCATGGAAACTACCGGCAAAATCCCTCAGTGGTATACTGCCTCATCAGCCCGGTTCCTTATGATAATCTATGGGGGAGGCCTATATTCAACAGTGATTCGATAACTACTGATATAATGACGATGATTTTTTTTATACCACTAATGTAGCAAACAAGCATACAGCCCGTCTGATGGTAAACGTTCATTGTAGTCTATGGACACCTGCAACACTAAGAGTATCACGTGCGCGTTGCCTACCCTGAAGTAACCCTTTTGAAGAACCCTATACAGAAGTCTAGAAAAAAGTTCAACAGGGAGCGCATTCCACAGCCTGAACGTTTGTGGGAAAAAAAATCTCTGAAATTGCACTGTACGTGACTATTTAGGTTTTTTTTTATACAACTTAGAATGGCAATCAAGCTGACAGTCCACCTGATGGAAAGTGGTAACCGTCGCCTATAGACATGAGCAGTACCATGGACATAGTAGAGTATACTGTTTCGCCCATGATACCCCCCTTGCGTTGCCATTCTTGAGGAGTCAGGTGTTATTCCTCAGTATTCAGTAAATTCACGCTAGGTTCAAGCGTATGAGGATGAATTATGTAATTCCCTGTCGATGGCGAACGGTGCGATGATAAAAAGTGATGATGATATATCGTAAATTAGAATATAAAAATAAAAAAAAAATTAAATAAGAAATGACACAAAATAAAATATGGTAGAATACTCGTGGGTGGGTATAACGTGAGACACAGCAAGAACATACATAATACAGAGATACGTAATAACAAGAAATAGTAAGACGAATTTCTTTATAAAGGTACCTGTGCCGTCTGAACATCAATCACTATCCTTACTAAGAATTACGTAACGTTTTTTTCCAAAGGACTTTGGTTTACGTTGATGACAGTTTTCTTATAAGAAAGCTTTTTAAATTACTTACCGATTGGAGTTCCTTTATGTAAGAAAACAGATTCTATTCAAGTCATAACTACACGAACGATGAGTGTTATCAACTATGAAATATTAAGTATCACCCGTGACTTTGCCCGCAAGAAATCCCTTTTCTTAATTCCCGTGGGAATTTTATAAAACCTTGCATATTTTATGATCAAGATATTTATCGGGAAGATGGGGGGCTCACAAAGATACTCGTATACTTTGTGAGATTTTCCGATATTTCTATGAAACCTTTCTTATATTTTTCTGCTTGTTGCAGCATATTTCAGGTGAGAGCTTACATTTTGCCAGTTTTTATTGTAAAAGAACAATATTGAACGAGATTCTCGGAGTTCAGTCGTAATCGTGATTCATATTTTCACATAATCAAAATGTTTTCTTGAATCTGTAAGCTACGTTTTATTTTTCTCTATGGTATAGGTGGTATGTATATAGATGGTCTACGATAACATAGTATGCCAATCAAAAATCCAAAGAATTAAAAATGTTTGAATAAAATATTTACACAGTTTCAAATGGAGACGCTACTGAAGACGGTTTTTCCCATGCAAAAACAGAGTACCATGTCTGTACTTGATCACACGCATAGAGGAAAAAGTTAGAGAGGGGTGCTATGTTAATGTGGACAATCTATCTGTTATCTATATATAGTTAGATAACCAGAGAAGGACAATAGGTGAGGAATGAAGCAAGTCCGTTGGTCCATTACGACAATTCATCAAAAAATAACAACGATAGTTCCTAGAGGAAACGACGTGGAAATGAGAATTAGGGAATCGATTAGTCTAGTAATGGTATAATTATTAAAGAAAACTAGATTCTAGGAAATTTATTTAGCATGGCTGTGTAGGTTTGAATGCAGGATATGACAGGGAATTTACAGGGTACAGAGGAATAACACCTTAGTTCTCTGGAATAACAACGCATGAAAGGTATCATGGGCAAAACAATGTCCATAGTTCATGTCTATAGGTGACGATTACGATGATTAGATGGGCCGTCAGCTTGTTTGCTATTTTAAGTTGCATAAAAAAGTCCTATATTTTTAAAACCTATACCTATATAAATATATACCTTTTTTAAAAAGTCAAACTGCCCCTCATGTCTTGCTCAACCCATTTTAATAAGTCTTACACCTATTTTAAAGTTAGACTAAAATCTAAAATGTAGTCTGCTCGATCGATTTTAACTAAATACATACGTTTTGAAGTTCAACTAATACCTATTCGATTATTTCGCTGATTAAAATATTGTTCTGGTTTCTACCGCAGTTAGATAAAGGGGATACAGTTGTCCTTGATGGATAATGTCAAGAGTCATCGGGACCATATAAATTGCTATTTGGGACCCCAAAACTCAGTTCAAGAGACAAGTCAAGGACAGAATACCGACTGTAGGCGTAGAATCGTTGGTAATTATCAAACTGTCATTGATAGGCCACTATTACTTTCTATTTAAATTGATGGCAAATTCGTAATTTAAATTTAGATCTTCAACAAGCCTAACATTTTTTAACATTAACGTTAAATGTAGCGCTATAAAAATTGTATTAGTTTTGAAATTGATGATATTATTATCTAAATATACATGTTGAGGATTTTTATAGTACTTACATTGTTTTTTATGCAACTTAGAATGGCAAAGAAGCTGACGGCCCACCTGATGGAAAGTGGTAACCGTCGCCTATAGACATGAGCAGTACCATGGACATAACAGAGTATACTGTTTATTTATTTTATTGAATTGTTTTGTAATATTTGTCGCAACTGAAAATGGCAAAACAATTGACGGCTTACGTGATAGAAAGTGATAATCGTCGTCTATATACATGAACAGCTTTATGGAAATCACAGAGTGTACTGTAATACCCATAATAGTCCTCATATGTTGCCATTCCTGAGGAAGACGTTGTGCATAGCTTGAAGAGCCCACAACCGATGGGGAAGAAAGGTTCTTGTATGGCAACCACAAATAGGCAAATGCAGTGTTGGAGGACCACACACTAGGTGGAGTGACGACCTCAAATACATTGCAGGGAGTCAGTGGATGCAGGTGGCTCAGGACCGATTCTTATGGCAGTTTATGGGGGAGGCCTATGTCCAGCAATGGACAGATAATGGCTAAGATGATGACGATGACGAAGATGATGGAATATAATAACTTTTTATGTTATATAATAACTTTTTAAACTAAAACAGAACCATAAAAGCACAGCTGTTTGACGACAGAAAGATGAGTATGACAAAGTAAAAGACCCATGGAAACGACTCTTGTACAGTCTGTTTCTATTATAAGCTAACTCAAATTCCATTATACTCTCATATCCAAGTCAAATTCAAGAATAATGAAATCTTAACTAGACAGAGCTGCGTCGTAAAGTTTTATAACCATCTTCGTCTAACCTCACTGTCTTAGTTTTCCAAATTGAATTTCCTAGTTTCACGGTACGAAGCAACGTCACAAAACATAAATTAATTTTGAAGCAATCTCAAATGTTTCTTAATACGTCCTTAGGTTTCTTGTATATAACTCGTATAACTTGTGAACTGATTTTATTAAAAAAAAAATTGTAATCGATATGGATAACCCACACGTACAGATGGGCAAAGCACCGGGTTTAAACCCGGTGCTTTGGTAAAAACCCAATAAACACCCATAAACTCCCATAATCACCCAAAAAAATAGGTTTTTACGTATTTTTTTGAAAATATGTAAGTAATACCAATAAATTATTTTTATAAATTGTATTGATCAATTCTACAATATTAAATAAAACGTTAACTAATAATATTTCAGGAAATTTTAAAAATCTATATATAATAAAATGAAAGTAATTAATTTTCAGTGTTTTCATGTTGCAGTTGATCAACATGTTGGCCTTTTGCTTCCCGTAGATACTTTAAAATTTCTTCATAACACCTCGTTCGCACACATGGCCGTATATATTTAAATTCTTGAGCCACTAACAGTCCGAAATACTAATTTCTTTTATCCTCTTCTCCATAAATTAAGCATTTAGAACAGTTTGTTTCTTCTTTCAGTAAATTTTCTTTTACTTTATCCTCGTTTTTTTTCTTTGTTGCGACGACGCTGGGTAAATCATCTGGACACTGGGTCTCACTATCGCCAAATATATTTGGAGATCGGCTTCGGCTACGGCTTGGCAGACATTTTTTTCTTTCTACAATTTTAAATTAAATTTATTAGAATAAATGCTTCGAACACACGCGATCTAAGTACCTTTTGTGTTTATTATACCTTACCTACCTAGGTATAAAAAGAGTACTTACGTAGATTTTCTTTTATTAACTGTTTTATACGAAGATCTTGATCTCTCAAATTAGCATCCATTTTACTTCCAGTAATTATCAACTAAATTAATAATCCACAAAGTATTAAATAACGTTTTTATGAAATATTTAGCACAAAAACAATACCCTTTAAATATCGATCGTCAGTAACTGTGGCTGACTTACCTATATTCTAGCAAGCAGGACTGCCAGATGTGAAGGGGAAATCCCCAATAAATTGTTGCATGTGACTGATGATGTGAGCATGTTCGTTTCATAATAAAAATGTTGCCAGGTAACCAAAAAGTCGTATGTTTTTGTGCGAATTACGATCATAATCTTTACGATCATACATTAAAAAATAGACAAATAATAGTATGAGTACGATTTAAATCGTATATCTGTCAACCCTGCTAGCAAGACAGCGACAAAATCACGTTGCATAACAATGTAGCCCAAGCTTATATCTTATGAAATATACGGAAGAGATACGGACTTAGAAAAAACAGAAATGTTGTTCTTTGTGGAAGTCATTGATGAAATTCTATGTATTTTAGCCCGCAAACTTTCTTCAAACAAAAACAGCGCCATCTAGTATCGAGTTCTGTAATTATCTCTTTGTTTATGGATTTGAAGTAAGACCGCCACGCATGCAATACATTATGACTGGGGATTCCCCTATTCGTCGACGCTGAATATGAGGCGACGACAATCACTGTCAAACGTGTTCACTATTACTCTGACTCTGGTAACGTGACTTCCTGGTAACGTGTTAGGTAGGAAAAGCAGTAAAAAAGTGCATATTAAGGGAGCAGATTTGAAATAATATTTATACTTAACAAGAAATAATTAAAGGTAAGTGGATTTTTGAATGATACAATTATATCATGATCACTTAACAATTTTAACTTAAAATTAGATGTATTATTACAAGCTTTTATTTAGCTTGCGTTATGTAAATAAAAGTATGTAGGTATGTTCGTATGTTGATGCAATTATCCTCAATCCTCAACCGACTGGGATAAAATTTTCCATACACGTTTATTTTGGATGATAGTGCATAGTTAGCTGAGAGTCGTCATTGGATAATAATGGTGGATAGCCTAAGATGTGTACTAGATATTTATTTTTAACATAATATGCGTAAGTACCTAATCGAATTAAAGAAGTTGCTGAGAAAAATACAGAACAATACGATAATAAACTAGCGTCTGCGTTTAATCCTCCGAGGATATGTAATTTTACAAAGGTTTTTTGTATTTATTTTATTATTTTTTTAATAAATTTATTGTAAATAACAAGAAATAATCATTGTAAAAAAATAGGCACTCTATTGTTGAATTTTCGTTAGACCAACTAATCATCGTTCATTTTTTTAGGTTCAATGGGGAGACCTAAAGATTTACGCATATGGGAGCACTACCGTACTTTACCAAACAAGTCTGTTTCTTGCAAGCTTTGTAATAAGGTCTACAAATTCAGTAATGCTGCCAAAATGCTTCAACATCTTATCACTTGTCCAAAATCTCCAGAAACATTAAAAGACTCTATGAAACTTATAAAAGATAGCTCGTCCAAAACCAAAATGTCTGGACTGTCAGAGATAGAGACAAATGATTCTTTTATAAGCCCCTCGTCGTCTGCTAACACTACAATAAATGCTGAGTTTCAAGACACCGATGATCATATAAAAACAGAATTAGCGAGAGCTATATTTGTAACAGGGACGCCATTATCGATGGTGCAACATCCTTTATGGATACAATTTTTCGAAAAATTGCAACCAAAATTTAAAATACCTTCACGTAAAGCTTTAGCGACAAAATACTTAGATAAAATATATAGAGAAATGCGTTTTGAGTTAAATGAGGAACTAAATGCTTGTAGTTACTTACACCTTCAGTGCGATGGCTGGTCTAATTTAAGAAATGAAGGAATAATAAACTTTCTTATATCAAAACCTCAACCTGCATACGTTAAAAGTTTGAATACAGAAAGTAATCCTCACACTAGTGAATACCTTAGCCAAGAAGTTGAAAAAGTAATGAAAGTGTATGGAGCAAATAAGTTTCTTGTACTTATTGGCGATAACGCTAGAAATATACAAAAGGCATTCGAATTAACAAAACTCAAATATCCACATGTTGTTCCTCTCGGTTGCTGTGCACATATCCTTAACTTGTTGTGCCAAGATATTGTAAAGATACAAGAAGTAACTGTGTTTATTATGCAAGCCATAAATATAATAAAAACTGTTAAAAGGAGTCAACGATTAAGTTCCTTGTTGATAAAATCAAGGCAGGGTGAAGATTCTACACAAACACTAAAATTGCCTTGTGCTACAAGATGGGGAAGTCATGTTACTTCGTTAAAAAGTTTGAAAGCAAATAAGATAGCTTTGCAAATATTAACAGTTAGAGAAGATGTGGTAATTTCAAGAGATATTAAAGATTTAATTCTAAGTGATGATTTCTGGACGAAGACAGGGGAATGTATAAGTATTTTGGAACCAGTCACTGAAAGCATATTTTACTTAGAGAGCGACCAGAATCGTTTGCATCGCACATACATTACATTTAGAGATGTACAAGCTAAGATACGTTTTGCATTAAATGAGATTTCGACATTGAGCGAAGAAAGCAAACAGCAGATTCTAACATCAGTATCTTCAAGATGCAATATGGCAATGAGGCCAATACATTTTGCAGCATATATTCTAGACCCCAGGACTCTAGGAGTCGAACTTACTCAAGAGGAAGAACTTAAGGGTATGGAGTTAATCTACAATTTAAGCCAACACTTAAGTTTGTCAAATGTAATGGCAGATTTGGCGTGTTATAAAGCTAAAGAAAACTTTTGGGCCAGAGGATTTGTATGGAGCTCATTAGATAGCATTGAGCCCCTAATATGGTGGAAAGGTATTTGTGGTTCCACTGAGTTAAGCAAAGTAGCGATTCGTATTCTATCAGCTCCCTGTACTTCGGCAGCCACTGAGCGTTCCTTTAGTATCCAAGGCTACATACATAATAACAAAAGAAATCGACTTACAACTGAAAGAACTGAAAAAATTTCATTCATTTGTTATAACTGGAATCTTAAACATAAAGCTGAATGCGAGGACATTCAGTTTAATGAAGAAAATACCTTAGAAGCTTTCATTGAGCAAGTAAATGAACATAACAGTTTAGACGAAATAGAGCCTATCGAACCTATACAATTCATCGCTTGTAATAACTCTGAATCTGACAGTGATTGACTGTAGTTTTACATTTTACTTTCATCTCTTTCTTAATAAACTCAAAATCAAATTAAAAGTTTTTTATTCTGTAGGCTGCATAATAATATTGTCTATGTCCAGTATAGTGGACGTCTTGCGGCTGAGATGACGATGATGAAGTACAAAATCATAAACACCCAAAAATTTGGGTGTTTATGGGGTTTAAACCCAATAAACCCAAAACACCCGGTTTTTACCCACCAGACTTTAAACCCACCCAGGTGGATTGCCCATCTCTAATTAAGATATTTAAATATTTGATAATATATTTCAATCATGCTTCAACAGCTGAACAGATTTCTATAAAATTTTGTACATAGATAGATATGGTTTGCTGGAAGAAATCTCTTATTAGAGAAACAATCTCGCCTTACGTTACGTTACGTTTAAAATTAATTGTTCTTAACATTATGTTTGCGTTTACAATAAAGAATAAAGAACCATTGATTAATAGACACATTACAGGGGGGAAAGGGATTGTTAGCAATGTAGTTTGACAGCCCCATTGCCAGCAATATGCCCTATTAGGTCGATCTCCACGTGGTTCCCCCTGGAAACCATCGTGAACAATTCTTGTTGAATTCGTCACGATGGGCTAAATGGCCTGCTTCATCCGCACCTATTATCCTTCACTGGTGCCCCGCCGGTGTATACCGATGGCGCGGGTGGGGTTACCATTCCATTATCACCCATTAAAAAAATACCCATATTACATTTATTTTAACTAATGCAGGCAAAGCCACTGGATATAGCTAGTTACCAGAGGGAGACTTTGTACAAAAGTCGATTGCTTGGGTACCTCTGTCCCATTCGTGTTTCAACCGTGAAGCAGTTGTGTTTGCATGGCTGTGTTTCGGTTTGAAGGGTGGGATATGGCGTGAATTTACTGGGTACAGAGGAATAACACCTGAGTCCTCAGGAATGGCAACGCATGGGGGGTATCATGGGCGAAACAGTATACTCTGTTATGTCCATGGTACTGCTCATGTCTATAGGCGACGGTTACCACTTTCCATCAGGTGGGCCGTCAGCTTGTTTGCCATTCTAAGTTCTATAAAAAAAAAAAAAAAAAAAATAGTTAATGAGGAATCTTATTATCTAAGTGATACTGAGAGATGGTTTCATTGCAATAATAAAACGTAAGGGCAACAATATGCTTGTTTATTGACGGGTCCCGTATAAAACACATATGTAGTGTTTAGAGCAATGAAACCGTAAAATAAATTAGAATCACCGGTGTACGAATACGAGAGATGCATAAAAAACAATGGATATGTTAAACAAAAATCAATTTAACGTCGCTCCTCGCGTTAATATTTAGAAGGAGACTGTGCACAAAATCGTGCTGTGCTGTGTAGTCACGGCATAGAACAGGCCACCCCTCCTTTTCCGTGGATGTCGTAAGACGCAACTAAGGAAGGACGAGGGGTACAAAGCCTAATTGCGGTTACTAATCTGCCTACCAAGCGCGGCAACTACTGACAAAACATCCAAAATGGGAGGCTTATGTTCAGCAGTGGACAGTTTTAAAGCTTATATGATATATATCTGCTTAAGTACCACTGTCTCACTAGTATTCCTCACGATGGGCTAACTGACTTGCTTCATCCTCACCTATCATCCTTCACTGGTGCCCCGCCGGTGTATACCGATAGCGCGGGTGGGGTTACCGTTCCATTATCATCCATCAACCAAAAAAAGCATCCGTTCACGAGTATGACACCATTAGTTGCACAAATTCAAGAAAATATCATAATGGGGTATTATATAATATTTTAAAATAGATCTTACGCCATAAATGTATACACAAATTTGTCTGTAAACAGTATTCGTTCACGGGTATGACGCGAGTAGTTGTGCAAACCCAAGAAAGTGCCACATCAAATGTTTTCCAACATCACTGACCTAGTGCCGTAGATACACGCACTGATTTGTCGATCGTAAAACAAATCACATTAAGTGTACACAATGGCCAGCTAGCGGCGGTCGCACTATTTTACTGCTACATGCATTATGCATGTACTTATTGTGTTTTTATGTTCGGAGGGATTGAACCCGTGACCCTTGTACCATGAAAAATTGACATCTAAATGTTTTAGATTGATCTCGGTAATTGATGTTGAATTAATAATATAGATAGATATTATTATTAGATAGGGGGAAGGGATTGTTAGTAATGCGGAGTTTTTTTTTTATGGGTGAAAATGGATACACTGGAGCACCAGTAAGGAATGATAGATGAGAATGAAAGGGCAAGTTAGTTAGCCCATTGTAATGAATACACCTGGGAGTCAGCACGATTTTTTCCAGGGAGGTCACGTGGAGGTCGATCTGACAGAGCATATTGCTAGCAATGTGTCTGATAGTCCAGATTACTAACAATCCCCTTCCTCTGGCATACCAGCATTTTTTTTGATGGGTGAAAATGGTATAGTAACCCCGCCCGCGCTAACGGGATACGCTGGCGGAGCACCAGTGAAGGGTGATAGATGAGAATGAAAACAGGCCAGTTAGCCCATCATGATGAATTCATCAGGAATTATCCATGATAGTTTCCAGGGGGAAACGCCGACCGCCGCCGGGGAGGTCGACCTGGTTGGGTATAATGCTAGCAATGGGATCCTCAGTCTCCATTACTAACAACCCCTTTCCCCCCAGTAATGCGGACTATCAGTCCCATTGTTAGCAATGTACCCTGTCAGGTCGGCCTCCACGCGGTAGCTGCTGGAAACCATTGTGCTGAATTTCAGATGGGCTAACTGACCTGCCTTGTCATTCTCACCTATCATTCCTTATTGGTGCCCCGCCAGCGTATACCGTTAGCGCAGGTTGGATTTTCATTTCATTATCATACATTAAAAAAAAATTAGAGTCAGCAAGTTGTAATGGAACTTCGCCTATGTAATATGTACGATTTATAATAATATTATGTAACATTGTAATATTATGAAGAAGGGTCAAATTAAAAGTACCCGTAACCGGCGAGCATGTATGAAAAGATTGATGAATGTGGAAGAAGCGAAAGAGGTTTGTTTGAATCGAAGCATTTGGCGTTGCATTGTTTCTGCCTACCCTAATGGGAGACAGGCGTGGCAGATATGTATGTATGTAATATTATGATTGGTTTGTGACAATTGTTTTTTTTGTGGGTCACTTCTTCCATCTTGAATTAGTCACGATATAAATTTTCAATATTGGAACTTACTTCAGTGTGCCAGTTCTAAATACAAATATTTAATTTTATTAATTTAACTACTACTACTTAGGTACTACCAGAGGAAGACTTTGTACATTATCAGAGGGAGACTTTGTACAATATCACTTTGTACAAAAGTCGATTGCTTGGGTACCTCTGTCCTATTCGTGTTTCTACCGTGAAGCAGTTGTGTTTGCATGGCTGCGTTTCGGTTTGAAGGGTGGGATGTGGCATGAATTTACAGGGTACAGAGGAATAACACCTGAGTCCTCAGGAATGGCAACGCATAGGAGGTATCACGGGCGAAACAATATACTCTGTTATGGCCATGGTACCGCTCATGTCTATATATATATATATATATATATAATTTATTCATTTAGACACCATAAGGCCCATCTTGTTAGTTACAAATTTACTTAACCTATGTTAGTAAATGAGCGGTCGTGACGCTCTTGCATTGATAACCTGTCCCACCCAATATTTTAGGATGGGACAGTTCATTTCACTGGCAATTGCCTTCAGTTTGTCGACCACTTATTTTTTTGTGTACAATATATATTAATAAATACCCAAATATAATTTAAACAAAGTCGTTCCAATATGAAATATTTGTATCAATTCCATTACTGAAAGGTCGTTGGACAGACGTGGGCGTATTCGCAGAATATACTCGTATAAAAAGTTTACTGACAGTGTTCGAACTAGATATATTGGGGACTAGCGGCCCGTCCCGGCGTCGCACGGGTGGACATTTTTACATTTTAAAAAGTGGCCATTAAGGCTGCACACGCGACGGAAGCTTAAAAATGGAGTAACTTCTCCCGTTTTCCCAACATTTCCCTTCACTGCTCTGCTCCTATTGATCGTAGCGTGATGAATAGTATACTATAACCTGCACAGGAGTATGAAGAATAATTGTATTAAGTTTCGTTAAAATCCGTCGAGTAGTTTTTGTTTCTATAACGAACATACAGACAGACAGACAGACAGACAAAAACTTTACTGATTGCATTTTTGGCATCAGTATCGATCACTAATCACCGCCTGATAGTTATTTTGGAAATATATATTTCATGTACAGAATTGACCTCTCCACAGATTTATTATAAGTATAGATAGATTACATTTTGACCTGTTAGATCGGCGATATAAGTCTAAACAATTACATATCATGTCCACTGCTGAACAGAAGCCTCCGTTGAGGGGTTGTCAGTAGTTGCCACGTTTGGCAACCGGATTGGCAAGCGCAGTTTAACTTTTAATGATATTTTAAGAAGGACACTGATGCCCATCCCTCGCTCTCTCTTAGTTGCTTTACGATACCCACCAAGGAAGAAGTGGCCTATTCTATGCTAAGACCAAGATGGTTATTTCCATAAATGGGTAAGTCTAAATTTTTTTTTTTTAATAAAATGTAATATACTCTTTTAATGTTTATTGCAGTCATAGATAGTAATTTAATGCATAATTATGAAGTTAATAACTTTAAAAGGAATAAAACTTTATATTTTGACCGTCTTATCTCACTGCTTTAATTGTAACTCTGTAATAAAAACTAACTGTTCTCCTCTAACTTTTTCACCAACATTCATATCACTGGTTATTTGATTAGATTTGATTAGAATTACTTTGTTTAATTCATACCCAAGTAAACGACTTTTGTACAAAGGCTTCATCTGGTCTATATATACAGGACCTCTCTACAGATTTATTACATATAAGTATAGAAGATTAAAATTCATAATATATTATATAATTTACTAATTAACTTTCTTTCCAACTGTACAATACATGATATACTCGTATGTACATATAAACGGAATGCACACATGCTTCCCACCCGATGCACCCAAGGTGATTTTGAAATCACATGCAGTAACGTAAACCATTGCTTAATAAAATAAACAAAACGTACTGTTTACGTGCATCTGGACTTATGAGTTTAGTTCTAGAAATCTCTACACTGATATCGTACTTATTAATTTACTTTAATGCTAAAACTCCATAAATTAATAATCGCCATGGAATGGACCGTTCCT